GAAATGCAGCCCTGGATCTCAACATGGAAGTCAGGGCTGGAGGTAAAGACGTGAGAGACATTGTATAATCATGGTAGTTATGACCGCAGGCATGAATGAGGAATTCTCTCCTATTCTCTCATCTCTCTAGATAGCTGCTCCTTTTCCTCAAATGATACTTATTCCTGCTCCCATCCCTAAATGTGAGTTCCTTTGTTCTTCCATTCAACAAATTTTTGTTAAATGCTTACTATCCCTAGGCACTATTCAAAGCACTGGTAACACTTGGTGAACAAAACAGACCCCACCCCCTCCAAAAAAAAAATCTGCCGTAATGAAGCTTACAGTCTAGTGGGCGAAGGCAAAGAATAATAATCATGAAAAAAAAAAGTAGAACATAGAAGTGCCACAGAGAAAAATGATGAAACAGAGAAAGAAGATGAAAGGTGTTGCAATTTAAAATAGGATGATTAAGGACAGCTCAAGGAGAATGACATACTTGATTAAAAGGCTTGATGCAGATGAAGGAATAGGCTATGTAAATATCTGAGTAAAAAGCATTTCAGGCAAAGAGGACAGTTAGTGCAATGGCCTGGAGGCTGAAGAGTACCTGATAGTTCAGAGGAACAACAAAGAGACTACGTGGCTAGAAGAGAGTCGAGAGAGGAGAGTAGTAGACTAGGCCAGAGGTATAGCTGGAGAGGCCACATTGCGTAGGGTTTTATAAACCAGGATAAGAATTGGGCTTCTGCTCTATGTGATATAGGAAATTACTGGAGGATTTTGAGCAGAGAATGGAAAATTCCGACTTATATTTTAAAAGGATCAGTCTTTAAAGGGATCAATCATTCTGCAAATAAAATGTGGGAAAATAAAGGTGAGAGCAAGGACATTACTCAGTAGGCTTAACAGTAAACCAGGCAAGAGCGAATGATAGCTTGAACCAGGGTGCTAGCAGTGAAGGTACTGAGAACTGGTTAGAGCCTGGATATATTTTGAGCTGAAGCTGGCAGGTTTGATGACAGATTGAATACAGGATGTGAGACATAGAAAGTAATCAAAGATGACTAAGATTTTTGCCTAACAACTAAAAAGAACTGTCCTTTACTTAGATGCGGAAGACTGCAGAAGGAGTCGGTTTGAGATGGTGGCAGTCAAGATCAAGACTTCAGTTTTGGATGTATTAAGTTTGAGGTGCCTATTAAACAAAATGAGATACGAAGAATATAGCTGGATCTGCAGGTCTGGAATTCAAGAAAAGGTCTGAGAATAGTTGGGTGGGTTCAGGAAGGCATAAACCCTTTGAATGATACCCAATGTGGGTAGTATCATCAGCAACTGTACATCTGGGGAATGGGAAACTTGTACCTCCGTCTAGGAGTGTGCTGCTTGTACCACGTTCTGCAGAGCTGTCTCCATCCGCTAAACAAATTTTATATCTTCTATTGTTAGCACCTTTCTTTCAATTGTGTAATTGTCCCTAGATGGTACTCATACAAACGCTTGAATTCCTTCTTCTTTGGCTCCCTTTTTACCTTTTAAGATCACACAGTCACTATGCTTTCTGTGACCTATATTATATTTTACCCTCAAAAGAAAATCTTGCCATTGCCTCATAAATCAAGAACAAAATCCTCTTCCTTTGATGCTCACCACAAGGGCACACAGACTTTTTTTTTCCACTGAGCTAAATCGACATTTAACATTATATTAGTTTCAAGTATACAACATGATTCAATATATGTACATATTGTGAAATGATAGTTGCAATCAGACTAGTAAACCTCTGTTGCAAGTCTTTTCTCAATCTTTTGAGAAAAAGAATTGAGAAAAAGAATTGGTATGAATGAGTAAGCCAGCCATAATGGTTCAGATATGTCTGCGAATAAGGGGTTAATGACACAAGTCAATTTATGGGAATGTTGTCCAAATAAGGCCTTCGGTCTTGTCCCATAGCAGGTGCTCAATTAAATATTACTGATTAATCAATTGAACTAGATCAGTATATCATACAAACCTTCAAAAACAGAAGAATCCTCTAGTATCTCTGCTCATCACTCCCTGTGATTCCCACTTAGTACCCTGTCACAGCAAGTCTCTTTATCCATGCTTATGGCAAAGCTTTCTCTTCTTCCATTCAATTTTTGTTTCATTGCTTTGTCTTATTTCATGATACTACCTGTCCTATGAAATGGGAACTGGCCATTGTCTGGCCTGGTAATGTCTGAAAGACTTTGAAAGTTATTCCTATCATAAAGATTGTCCTTCTAAGACAAAGGGCTCGACTGACTTTTCTGACACAGCCTTTCAGGATCAGAAATTTATCTGCAAACCTGGAATAGCTTTGGCAACTGTGAATTCATTTAAATAGTGTTGAATGTGTTTTTGTACTTTGCTGGTACTACCACCCCCAAGAGAGCAGTGCTTTTTAGTTGACTTAATTTTGCCTGCCAAACTGTGAAAAGTGGGCTTTAGTTTTGTTAGACTCTGTAGTCTCTTATGATTTTCTAAAATTCTATTACGTTTCTTCCCAAATCTTCATCATCGTCTCTCATATGGCAGCCCCCCAGTTTATTAATACTGTTTTTCAAAAACTACCCACATTTTAGGTGTGTGTTTTGTATGAAGAGAGTCAGCCCAGCTCTTTTGGCCTCTCACAAAAGACTGAACTTTCTCAGTCTATTTCATTTCCAATCCACTTTCTGATAACAGCTGGCATCTTATTGACCTTTAGAATTGTGGGGTACACCAACTTTCATGGAACAATACAAAATGATCTCATGTTATTTTCTTCCATTATAAAGGGAAAAGAAAGATAATAGGTAATATGTTTGGATTAATTTTCAAATGCCTATATTGAAGTCCATTTGCTAAATCTTCAGCATTGAATTTTTATTTTTATATAATTATAGACTCGCAGAAGTTTGCAAAGAAATGTCCAGGGAAGTCCCACACAAGCCTCCTCCAGTGTTAACATCTTACAACTATAGTACAATATTCATAAAGCTTATTCAAACCACCAGTTTTGCATACTCATGTGCGTGTATGTATATATGTGTACAGCTTGATGCAATTTTGCCACATGTATAGCTTTGCATAATCATACCACAATCAAGACATTTAACTCTACCATCACCACAAGATTCTCGGGTGTTATCCCTTTATAGATACATCCATCTCCCATCCCTAACCCCTGGCAACCATCAGTCTATTCTCCAGCTCTATAATTACCTATTTCACAATTGCTACTTAAATGAAACCATGCATTATGTATCCTTTTGAAATTGGCTTTGATCATTCAGTATAATTTCCTTGAGGCTCACCCAAGTCGTTGTGTGTATCAATAGTTCATACCTTTTTTTTTTTTTTTGCTAAACATTTTTTTAATTTTTTAATAATTTTTAAAAATTTTAGTTTCAAGTATACAGTACATTGGTTAGACATCTATATAGTTAGTAAAATGATCCCCCCAACTGCTCTCTCCCTCCCGACCCTCCACCTACCCAATGCATTGACGTTAACTGCATTCCCTATGCCGTGCTCCCCATCCCCATCACCATCCATCAGCTACTAATTTGTACTTCCTTAACCCTTCATCCCACTCTCCCAGCCTCCCAACGCCCCCTTCCTTCTGTCCGTCACCATATCCTCCTTAAATTATTTCTATAGTCCACTATATTTGTGAGTCTGTTTTTGATTTGTTTGTATTTACTCCTTAAATTCCGCATATAAGTGAAATCATATAGTATTCATCTTCCC